TTTGATCCCAGGTGATGTATATGATCTCCTGAACTCTGCTGAGAGTGATACCCGAGGGTCAGGAAGAATGCTGGAGAAATACCTAGTACTGCAAAACCAAAAATTAAACAAACAACAAAGACAAAGGGGAAAACGTGTTAAGAATGGGGGTAAATCAACCTTCTATACTACTCCTATTCCCAGGTTATTATGAAGGTAAAGACACAAGACACCTTCATGGCCCATTAAGTCCAAAATTTGCCTTAATAGTCAATCCCGAGGGTTGGCAATGAGGTCAAAGTAGACTAACTGCAGCCCACAGCCCTGAAAGTTGTTTTAGGACTTGTTTCTCTACTTCTACATGAGAATATGTCAAATATTGCAACTGAATACCCAAATGACTAGTGCAAGGGTCACTGTAGTACCCAGGTCTATGTCAGCAACTTATCCAGAGCAGAATGAGAGCCAGGTGCTGCTAAGCGGTTAAAAGTCTCTAGTACACCAGAAGGCTAGGAGAAAATGCATTATATGGGAACATGGGGCAAGCAATTATGGCCCAAAATTCATGGTCACTTCCAAGATAGCTTCTGTAAAAAAGTGGAATACCTCAAGCCTAAACCAAAATGTTTGTCTCAAAGCACACCAAGAAAATGGACCAGGAACATTGGGGTTCCTGTATTGAGGTCTGCACAAAACGAGAAGTCATCCACCACTCTCCAAGGAAGAGAAAACTCTCAACATTACACTCAAATGAAGATATACATACTGCCTCTCACATACTCCCCCCAGAAAGATCTCACTAATACTGGGGACAAAAGGATACCCTCTGTCCCAAACAGGATCTATAAAATCACCCCGGCCTGCATTTTACTTCTCATGAAATATCCTATATGCTGACATAAACAGGCTGGTATTCACGAACTCCATGCTACCAGCAGACCTTCATAACATATAGCAGGCATGCAGCAGTGGCTGTTAGCAATGGGCTACTCAAATGTTCTACATGTAATTCTTCTAGACATTATAGAACCTTTCAAGAGCACTAATAAAGTTCACAATGGCTAGACAGCACTGTAAGACTGGAGAGCTAGATGACAGTTACTACAGGAGAGAAAGCTATACCTCAATCATATAATCCCTGGAGTACACAACATGCTGTACCTCAGATACGATGAAAACGACAGCAGTAAGTGTTCTCATTCATTTTGTTCAGGTTTTCCAAGGAGTGCATGGGGATATGGGTACTCATCATTGATCTAAGCACAGTGGCAAGATGCCTCACACAAGTTGGTGTTATTTAAACAATGTCATCAGCAAAGTGGAGCTATCAAAAGTTATCCTAAAAAGAATGAACTGAAATATTTGAAACCCTGTACCAGGGTGTGCACTCCCATGGCTCCTCCTCCACAATATTAAACACAGTGGCTTACAAAATTGTTCATGATAATTTTTCTGTAGAAATACAGGGTATGCTCATGCTCATCACCAATATTTTTAGGTATGGGGACCTCTCAATATCAGCTCCAAGACAACCTATACTATCCTACATATCCTTGTCCAAAAAGCCTCCATACGTATCTAGACCAAAGCCTCACATAATGTCACATATTCAGCCTCTACAATCACATCACACCCTTTTGAGCCCTCCATCTATTTTTAAAACCTGATCAGTCACCAAAATAACATTTACCTGTGTCCCTATTTCAAGTCCATGTAACAATGACAGAGGCCATCCCTATGATCTCGACTTCATTATTTCTGACAACTAAGAGAGTCAGTCATCTAGATTGCAACTGCTAAATAGCCACTAACAGACCAAGTGGGAGGACCTGCTAGCCTATTCTTGGCGACTGCACAACAAAAATTCTTTACCTTCAAATCCATGTAAATCTCCTCATCACACACATAGGAGAGACCAAAAATGCCTGAGAACAAAGTGATCAGGTATTATAGGCATGAAACTCTCATTTTTATAATACCAGGCACCACACTATCAGAAAATATGTTCACATCCGAGTCTTCCAATTTTGGCAAATAGCGAGGGTCCCTAGAATGTTAGGTGAACCCAACAGGAAGGCCTTGGTTGGTGATGCTTGAGTATCACCATGAGAATCTCTCCCTTACTTCTACCATCCTTGGAGTAGACCATGCGCTGACCTCAGATACAATAACAATGGCAACAGTGTGAATTCTCACTTATTTTAGGTTTAACAAAGAATGTGTAGAGTTTGGGGTACTTATCATTGATATGAGCATAATAGACAGGCTGTCTCCCACAGGCAGCTGAATGGGGCCTGTAATTCAAGGTCAAGAGGGTTCCTAAAGTAAGAGCAAAGGGGATGCCATCTTGATGCATGAAGATCTTGCATCTGAAAGCATCCACTGGACCAACAAATCTTGGTCTCCCCCCTACAATTATATCATTTGCAGTATCCATAAAGTCAGCAGGCACGGAGGACAGTGATGAATAGACAAGACTGAGCAAGCAGTGCAAGTAGTGCATGTCCGTGTGTGGGTGAACATACTTGGATGCTTGACAAAAACTAGATCTAGTCAATGAAAGACCAAGTGCCTCTGAATATAGGCCTTGAGGGGTGCTGCATGCCAAAGACAAAGGAAAAGTCATCCCTCATGCATAACATCTTGGGGAGTGCAGAGCATGTGCTGGACCTCAGATATGATGACAATGTCAGCGGTGGGAATTCTGTATCATTTTTCCAGGTTTTCAAAAAACTTCATAGAGTTAGGGGTACTCATCGTTGATCTCAGAACACTGGGAAGGCTGCAACACAGAAGCAGCTATCTGGAGCCACTAGTGAATGGTCAAGAGGTAGGGTTCCGCAAGTAAGACTAAAGCGGATGGCAGGGAAAGCCCTGCCATAGAGGTACGGTGGGATGGGGGGGATTTGGGTGGGAGGAAAACTGGGATCAGTAGTGGTGGAGAATGGGCACTGGTGGAGGGATGGGGATTCAATCGTTGTTTAACTGAAACCCGAGCACAAAAATTTGTGTCTACAACTGTATATCATGGTGTTTCACTAATAAAAATGAAAAACATAAAACAAAAGACTAAAACGAATGACATCTTCATGCATGGAGTTCTTACCTCTGAAAGCGTCAACTGGCCAACCAATTTGGGTCTCCCAAATAGTATTGGCTCAGTTAACTACTGAAAGCTCTTCGTGGTGCTCAGCAAGCCTGGCAGAGAATCTCCATCTGAGCCATGTAAACAAAAGTGGAAATACGTGAGACGATTCCCTGGGTATAGAGTCGAGAGATAAACAGGAAAGACTTTAGCAAGGAGTGCATATCCGTTTGTGGTTGGTGATAGTTGATTCCTCGACAAATATCAGTTCAGGGCACTGGAAGGCTAAGTGCCCCAGACTGGAGGTCGAGGGGAAATTTGCATGCTTATGACCAAGAAAAAGGCATACCTCGTGATTAACATTTGCGAGGCACACCTTGTGCTGGACCTCAGATATGATGAGAATGGCGGTGGTGTGTGTTCTCTCATTTTGTTCAAGTTTTCCAAGGAATTAATTGAGTTAGGGGTACACATCACTGAACCCAGAACAGTACGGAGACTGCCTCACAGAAGCAACTATCTGAGGCCACTTGTGTACAGCCAAGAGGAACTGTTCTCCAAGTAAACACTAAAGCAGATGTCATCATGATGCAAGGAGATCTTACCTCTTAAAAGTGTCCACTGGCGCAAGACTATGGGTCTCCCATGCAGAACTGGCTTTAACTACTGAAAGTTCTTCTTTGTGCTCAGCAAACGTAGCAGAGAAACTCCACCTGGGCCATGTAAACGAAAACGCAAATACATGAGAAGGTTCCCAGGGAATAAGCACAAGAGATCAGAGCCACATGACCTCTATGGTCAACTGGCATTTGACCCATATAAACCAGTAGATATAAAGTCAGATGCAATAGGGTGTAGTGATGAACAGGAAAGACTGCAGCAAGGAGTTCATAGCCCTCTGTGATTTCTGATACTTGATTCCTCAATAAAAAGACATCTCTGGGCATTGGAATACCAAATGCCTCTAATTGGAGGTCATGGAAAATGTAGCATGCCTATGACCAAGGAAAAGCCATCCATCATGCCTAACATCAGTGAGGCACACTATATGCTGGACTTCATATAGTTTGAGAATGGCGGTGGTATGAGTTCTTACTCATTTTGTTCATGTTTTCCAAGGAATGCATAGAGTTAGGGATACTCATCAGTGATCTCAGAACCGTGCGGAGACTATTTCAAAGAAGCAGCTATCTGGGGCCACAGTGTAAAGCCAAGAGGGAGGTTTCACAAGAAAGACCAAAGCAGATGTCATCTTGATGCATGGAGATCTTATCTCTGAAAGCATCAACTGGCCCAACCAATGTGGGTCTCTCAAACAACATTGGCTCAGTTAACTTCTGAAAGCTCTTCTCGGTGCTTTTCTAGCAGAGAAACTCCACCTGAGCAACATAAACAAAAATGGAAATACGTGAGAAGATTCACAGGGAATGGGCACGACAGATCACAACCTCTTGACTCACATGGGCACCTGGCATTTTGGTCTTATAAACCAGTAGCTATAAATTCAGATGCATGAATGGGGTGCAGTGATGAATAGACAAGACTTTAGCAAGGAATGCGTGTCCCTCTGTGGTTCCTGATAGTTGATTCCTCAACAAAAACAGCTCTGGACATTGGACAAGTTCCTCTTAATCGAAGTCGAGGGGAATGCAGCAATAAATGCATATGACCAAGCAAAAGCCATCTCTGATGTCTAGTATCTGGGGGGAACACCATGTGCTGGATCTCATAAAGGTAAAGGTAAAGGCCCTCCCGTTGATCGTCGATTTGCTCGAGCGGGCCCAGTAACGTCTCCATTGGAGACTTTTGTTGTTACTGTGTCTGGCATATCGAATACTCTCGGTAGCTTGCCGGGCTCTCTGAGAGGGGCAGAGGAATCGAACTCGGGTCAGCCATGTTGGCCGCTTGTAAGGCAAACGCCCTACCCGCTGTGCTATCGCTCCAGGATGACAATGGTGGCAGTGTGAGTTCTCATTCTCACTGTTCAGGTTTTCCAAAGAATGCAAAGTTAGGTGTATTCACCATTAATCTCAACAAAATGGGGAGGCTGCCTCACAGAAGCAGAAACACTGGCCCACTAGCTGACCTCATATAGGATGAAAATGGCGGCAGTGTGAGTTCTTAGTCACACTCTTCAGGTTTTCCAAAGAATGCAGATTTAGGTGTATTCATCATTAATCTCAACTCAACGGGGAGGCTGCCACACAGAAGCAGCAAGACTGACCCACAGCATGAAGGGAATATTCTTAAATATCCCACAATAGAGGCAGAAGCAAGGTAAAAGCAAATGAATTCACAGAAACAAGTCATAGCTTACCTTCAGTAATGTGCAGGGAAACTAACAGATTCCTGTCCAATATTTGACCCAGATTTTGAATATACCTTCTTCCTGGCAACAACAGAATACTCTTCTTGTTAAACATGTGCCTGATGAGGAAACTCCACCTGAGCAGTGTACACAAAAAGCAGAACAAGATGGTGCCTTAGGATCTGGAACAGGAGACAGCAGCCACAAGATCCCTGATGCAAAACTTGTATTTGCTCTTAGCAGTAGGTATAATATCATATGGCAGAATGAGGCACAACAAAGAAATATGTAAGACTGAGGATAGGAGTGGAAGACCCTGTGCCATTGGATTTGGAAGGGTTTTCTTGGTTTTTATCATAATATTCACTGTGTACTCTTGATCTATTTCTTTGTGAACAATCTGCTTGAGGAGTACAGAATACCCGATCTTTCCACTACAAGGAACTTGATATTCATATTATTGCCTAGCTAAAGGTTGCCTCCCAAAGAGCCACTCTGTCTAAAAACAGAGTAGTTGCTTCCAATGAAACAAGACATGTTTCATCTCTCTTCAACTGAGCTCTAACAAAATCAGTCAATAAAATCTGGTCTGTTTGCCATGAGCTGTGTCTCTTGAAGATGCAGCAGTGGGATGGTACCAAACAATATAAGACACACTGAATCACAGCTTCACATTCATGCATTATGCTGGGTTTCCCACACTTAAAACAAAAAATCTCAGAACTCTCAATCTAGAAAGGTGTGGGGATGTGTATGTGACAGTGCAAGCTAAGAATCAATAGGAAAGCCCAGTACACAATTCTTGGGCACCAGCTTTCAAAAAAATACAAAGAGATGCCATCATATCTAAACTGAACAGACACATGCCTGAACACACAATGAACCTAGCTAAATACAGACTGGCGAAACAACAATCATCCACAGTGACATTGTTCCAATGTCATCGTAAATCTAGTAAAAAAGAGACATTTAAGAACTTTCAGGCCTCAAATTCTGCTTAAACATTCATTTTACCCACTGGGAATAATAATGAGGACAACAAGAATGTACGTTCAACATCCAGCCCTTCACATTCTTCCATAGCCAAAATTGTCAATATGATGTCTAGTAGGGAAGTCACCCAGGCCAACAGTACCATGAGTACAGTTACACAATATAATGCCAGTCCCGTTCACAAAGTACAAGTCCAAAATACCAACACTAATACACTATGTCTGTCACAGACATTGGCAGTCTTGAATAGGATACCATGCCTTATCATGACAATATGTTGGCTGACTCATCTAAGATCTGCTGAGAGGCAGATGCTCCCAGAGTAGAGGTATGTCGTCAGCTTAAGGACTACTAGTCCAAGCACTACAATATTCAAACACAATTCAGTTACTCAATCTGAAAAGAAGAACTTGAGTTATAGAATAGCAAACAAAATCTTCATCAAGAGTCACATTTAGACTTATGGCCAGGGATCCACGATTCCCCAACTTCCCAACAACCTCAGGATAAGAATTCATTTGTTGTGCCTAAAGAGAAAGCCATGTGGTGGTCAGGAGATGAAGAAGGGGAAGATGTACTTCAGGAGTACAGTCCATTGAGCAAAGTATGTGCTGGACCTCAGTTACGATGAGAACGGCGGTGGTGGGAGTTCTCACTCATTTTGTTCAGGTTTTCCAAGGAATGCATAGAGGTAGGGGTACTCATCATCGATCCGAGCACACTGGGGATGCTGCCTCACTGAAGCAGCTGGCATGGTCTAACAGATTGCAGCCAGTGACCACAGCAGCCCGAGAATTCATGGATTAGGGGAACTGGTACTCAAACAGCCTTCCAAATAGGCCAAACCAAGGCAAAGGTACTTTTGAGCTCAAATGCAATGGAGAGCTTACCTTTCAGAATTGTACATGAGCAATTGACAGTACCCTAGTGAACACTCAAATCTGTTCAGTTGCTGTTCCAAGGAGAAAAGTAAAATGTTCTAGTGTATGACTAGACACGGACCTGAGTCATGAAAACAAAATAAAGAACAAAAGTTTAGGTGCCCAAAAACCATGCAATAGAGATTACAACTAAAGAAATTTAGCATATTCTCTTGCTGAGATTCTAAAAAAAAACCCCATGGTAGAAGTATGACATCAGCTTAAGGACTACTAGTCCATGAAACACAATATTGAAACTCAACTCAATTACTCAATCTGAAAAGAACTTGAGTGATAGAATAGCAAACAACATCTACACCAAGAGTCACATTTAGAGTTATTGTGACATGAATCCACTGAACCCATATTGAGAAGCCCTGAAACAACATGCCTCCAACCAACAACTTTACTAGGAGACTTCCCATCACATTATTATACCAGGAAGCAACTGACCCCGTTATGAGAGGAACTTTAAGGAGAAGGTCAAGGAAACAATTTCCTTGTTTAGAAACAAGGAAAAAAAGGACAAGTGGTAACCATCCCTTGTCAAAGAACTTGCTGGACCTCAGCATCGAGGAGAACGGCGGTATTGAGTTCTCACTCATTTTGTTCAGCTTTCCAAGGAATGCTTTTGAGAGAATCATCATTGATCCAACAAACTCTCAAGGAGGCTACCATTTCACTTTTATCCATACAGAATGGGTATTTGGCAGGTATATTAATAAACTTACAGCCTGAAATGGACTGCAGAGTCTTGAACAGGCTTTGAGTCTTTTTATTCTAAACCCAAGACAGAAACCCAAGTGATCTCTGTACATTACATGTGCACTCACTGCAACTCTAATATTATGAGAACATCCACTAGAGAAAATAGAGCCAAGAAGACAGGACCGCTTACCTCCACTATTCTTTTGAGTGTGAGCAATACATCAAGACATATATTCTTCTCATGTTTCTCAAACAAATTCAATTATTGGTGACATATATTTCACTTCAGACAGCAATTTAATCATGAATATTGCACCTGAGAAAGAGAAGAAAATAAGGGACACATATCTATAAACAGGTTCAAGAATTGCATCTGCATACACCAGGGTACACTATCTATTTTCTTTTACCTATCATTAATCATAGCAATTTTAAAGCTTATTAGTGTTAAATAACCATAATTCAAATCACAGTGGTTGCACTGGAGTGATATGAGGGTAGAGGCAGACTGATACTACCAAAATTCTTACACCTGGATGCAAAATCAAGAGAATTTCAGCCGGACTCGACTCCTGTAGCTTCATAAAGATGTGACTGATGAATTACTGGAAGTAAGAGAGAAAATTATGCAACCATCATGACACAGGTTAAAAGCAAAATATTCGGTATAGTGTCCACCAGGCAGAAGTACTCAAATGATGGAACAGAACATTTGATTAACAAAACAGAAATACTTTACTGAGAACTCATACTGGTGTGTCACATATGGAGGATACCCATTTAAGAAGACTGATTTGCACATGGTCACAAAAAATTTTCCTGCCCCTGAGATGAAAAAGAAAAATCGTAGAAAGAACTAAAAACATTATTGACAGTTTTAATAAGACAACATCTCGAGAACATAAACGTCTAAAATAGTAAAATGTGACAGTTTTCCATATTGGGATCTTATGAAGTAGCAACCCTGTGTTTGACAGGCCGGATTCTTGACAAAGCAGAAAATGATTCTAAGCATCTTAGAAAAGTATGAGTTGTCTGTACAAAATGATACCACTAAATGGCAAAGTTTCGACACAACAAACTAAAATACAGAAATCTTCTTCTTAATTACCTCAATGGTAATTAAATGTACCAAAATGAATTAAGAATACTTAATCATAGGAGTTAATGTATCACATAGACAGAGACTCATCAAGAAATCTAAATATATAGTCAGACACAAACAAGTCTTATCACAATAATTCCACTGTGTTCTGGGGACAGACAGTTTAGATACAAATAGGATCATAGATGCCTAAATTCAGTGGTCAAAATTTTGTATCACCACTTTAAGGGAAAAAACTCAGCTCATGAAATGACTACTGAAGAAAAATTTTAAACAAATTTTTAACAAAAAATTTTAACAAAAGTCTATAGCCCTCAGGGGGTTACAATTTTTCATGACAACTGTGGTTGAAACCACCATGGCCACTGTGTAGAACAACACACAGGTAGGTGTAAATAAGGCACTACAGCCTCAAGTCTAACTCCAAACTTTATACATAGATCCAACTGACTTAGAACCTACATTACATAATGGAGGGAACATAGTGCACAATAAATATCCCACAGGTACAGGCTCTTGTGACAAATACCAGTTGTTCTTCTGGTGAGATGATAGAATCCCTCCCCAGTATAGAAGTCCCATAGCAAAGCGGCATGATCACACCATGCCAGCAGCTCAAGGGTTCCATGCAAAGCATGACAAATGCAAACTAAATCAGTCAAGATATATGGTAATGCTGCTTTAACCACTGCAAGAACCAAAACCTTTAGTGGAAGAAATAACCACTGCATTATCATATAGCAAATCCACTGACTACCATGATGAGAGGCACGTTAAAGTGGAAAAATCTCAAGGTCATATTTCAGGATACTTCCCAGGGAACCTCATGGATACTATATACTGGTACTCATAGGTACTATATTCTTCCTAGAACTCAATGCGGTGGAGAAAAGTGGTAATGAGATCTTAGTTATTATGTTCCGCTTTCCAAGAATGCTTTCGAGAGAAGAATCATAATCATAATAATAAACTAAAATCAATCAATTTTAATCTA